ACTCAACAATACAGGTAAGAAAGAATATGTCTGAAATACAGGAGACTCCTTAAGATATCTCTTAGTATTACCAAACTCTGTTATTAAAGTTAACGGGAATTCACAACTCCATCCAGGCAGGACTAATAATGGCCCAGATCCTTATGGGTTAACCCACCACGTAAAACACATGCACAGCTAAGGGCAAAGGGAATACAGAATGGGTAGTAGAAGAAGGTAGTTATAAATATGAGCTACATAAACATGACCAGTTACAGAAATGAGCATTGTAATTGTCAAGAGTATTTCTTCCTCATTTTGTTATTTTGTTCCTTTCTATTTTGTTATGATTGTGTTTGTGACTCTGTGTGTGCTTATGTGTGTGTGCTTGCAAATATCTGTTTTCTTCCTTTCTTTTTCTCTTCTCATGCAACATAAGATTTGTTGACTTGATGTCATAGTATTAAAATGCTGTTAACTTTACATCATAGCATTTGTTGTCAAGGAGAGAACAAAGGATATCAAGGAGAAAAGTAAACATCACCTAAACATTTGCATCCACTTCTGGGGAAAGGGCCAGTGCATTTTCAGTTGTACATAGTTGTATCATTTTAGGTGGAAGCATGACCTTGTTATTGTCTTTATTTGGAAAGTAAGTATGGTTTAAGGAGCTGCGTATGGGTGCCAGGTTGACATGGGGTAAATTTATAATGGGTTATTTTATGTGTCAATTTAGGTAGGTCAAGAAAACCAGATATTTGATCAGACATTATTCTAGATTTTTTGTGGAGGTATTTTAAAGATGGAACTAATATGTAAATCAGTTAACTGAATAAATCTGATTATCATTCATAATGTAGGTGAGCCCCATTCAGTCAGTTGGAAGTTTAATAGTAAAAGACTGACCTCCCCAAGAAGAAGAAAGGCTGCCAGCAGACTTCTTTTGGACTCACACCAAAACAAATCTTCCCTGCCAGCCCATACTGCATACTTTAGTTTTGCCAACCCTCCACAGTCTCATGAATCAATTTCATGTGAATACTATATATCCTATTAGTTTTATTTCTCTGAGGAATCCTTACCATTGTAGAGATGTTTTCCATATTTTTATGATAAGAACTCTTGGGCACATTCTACCAAAACAGCAATAAAGTAGGTTGTTTACCACCTTTTTTGTCTTGATCAGGTGTGTCAGTTATGACTATTTTATTAGGCTTTCCAAAATGTATTTTTTAATTGAATAAATAGAGTGATTTGTATTTGTTCTGTGTTTACTAAATTTTATTTTATTTTATTTTATTTTAATTTTTATTTTTTTTCCCATTTATATTATTGCATTTTAGGTTTTGGGGTACATGTGAAGAACATGCAAAATTGTTGCATAGGTACACATGTGGCAGTGTGATTTGCTGCCTTCCTCCCCATCACCTACATCTGGCATTTCTCCCCTTGCTATCTCTCCCCAGCTCCCCACCCTCCCTAAATTTTCTTTTATTCTTATTATCTCAAGGGTTGATATGTAGTTTCTCATCCTTATTTATTCTTTGGCCATTAAAAATTCTCATCTTTTTCTCTTGTGCATATTCTCTTGCCTAATTATCTTTTTGTTATTAATATAGCATTGTGTTTTAGTCAGTTATGAGTCTATAGGAAATATATTTTTAAGAACTTACTGCAATTTTATATGTAGCCTAATTCAGTTTTTTATGTTCTATGCATCTGAAAAAAGTATTCCTTATATATTGGTTTAAAATTCTATTTAGACCTAAAAGATAAATCTTGTTAATTGTGTTAGTCAAGTTCTCTACAGTCTTACTTAATTTTTCCTTTCTTTATTTTGTCGCTTCTTGAAACATGTCATAAGTTTCCCACCATAATTGTGGATGTGTCTATTTTTTATGTTTATTTTTGCTTTATTTATGTGTTGTTGGTTACATATTTATAGCGGATATATTCTTGACTGGCTTTCTACCATTAAAGCAATCAATGTTTGCCACATATGTTTTACATTGTGGTATGATGTTATTATTGCTACTCTTGCCTTTCTGTTATTGTTTATCTGATATAGTTTATCCATCCCTTTATGTTGTATATTTTTGGTCACATTTTTAGGTGTGTCTCTTGAAGACAACCTATAGCTAGACTCTACTTACCTTCCTGAATACCTCTGTATTTTCTTAGGAAAGCTTAATAATCAATTAATGCTGCTGTTATTACTGATATGTTTAGACTTACTAGTGTCATTTTATTGTATGTTTTTCAATACTTTCTGGTTTCCCTTTCTGTGTTCTGCTGCATTGATGGATCATTATTTGTTCTGTTTATTTTTCTTTTGTTGGGAAGTTGTTCATTCTAAATCTTTACCTTTGTGAGCAAAAAAGATGTATGCTGAGATGAATCTTTAGCTTTCCAGCATAAATACTTTTCTAACATATATTTTAACATCTAAATTTAGAGTGTTATTGTGATCTCAACATACAAGGCAAGAACATTTGCACACCTTTGCCTCCCTCCAAGTATAGCTTGTTTTCTGAGCATGCAGGCTGCCTGTCAGTGCCCTTTGTTGGTATCTTTCTAAGGGGCTACTGGTACCTGGAGTTTAGCCCCTACCTCACAAATTTTGGCTCTGTTGTCTGTGTCAAGTAGGAGAGACCCATTCATCTTCAAGATGCAATTGTCCATTAATTACTCTGTTGATTAATTAATTATGGTCCTTGGGCTTTTTGTCTTTTGGGTTGGAACTCCCTAGAACCTATCATGACAGGAGAGCATGTTTAAGGAGCTTAAATTTCCCCCAGTTACTTATCTCCATAGAGCTGATACTGATCGATTTTATATCAAGAATTCTTCAAAATTTCTGGTGCATTGATTAGACTTTTGTTTTCCCATATGAGTATGGATTTTTTTTTTGTTTTAACATAATGTTTTCATGGGATAATTGTGGTGACGGAAGGAGGGCATATGTGCTCAGACTGCCATTTTGACCCATTCTCATTTCCCTCTGTGTTCTCTTACTCTGTACCAGGCACATTCATCTAATAATGGCCCTATGGGCACATAGGCTTTGCTTTTCTTCCTCCAAACTTTGCTTATTTTAGTGAGACTCTTGCTACATATTTCCTGTACTATTCTTTGCTTATGTTAAAGGGCTTTCTGTTCCTTGAAGATTTACCTTTTCTTCACATTTAAATGTTAGTATTTTCCTCCCCTTAATTCTTATGGTCCTAAATTTGAATCTCAGTTATGAGCAAGTTGTAGCATAAATATGAATGTAATATTTGTGGGCCATGTGCGGTGGCTCACACCTGTAATCCCAACACTTTGGGAGGTCAAGGCAGGAGGCTCACTTGAGCTCAGGAGTTCAAGGCCAGCCTGGGAAACATGGCAAAGCCCTGTGTCTACCAAAGCTACAAAAAAAATTAGCTGACTGTGGTGGTATGAACCTGTAGCCAGTAGGTTGAGGTTGGAGGATCGCTTGAGCCTGGGAGGTGGAGGTTGCAGTGAGCTGAGATTGCACTACTGTCCTCCAGCCTGAGTGACAGAGTAAGACCTCATCTCAAAAAAAAGGCAAGAAATTAAATATTTGTGAACTTATCAACTCTTGAAAACAGGGTATGTTATCTTTCCTCTCTTTGGATTCTCATTGCACATAGCAATGCCATCCTTATAGTGGACACAACATTTGTGATTAAAATTGAATTAATATGAATTTATGAACAGCTCCTATCAATAACAGAAAATTATTCTGTATAGTGTGCTTGGACTGAACAGTCTTCTGATCATTATTTATTATATTGTGTAGTATTTTTATAGCATCAAATATTTATTGAGAAGCATAAAATAAATTATGCTGCTGATTAACTTTTGTCCTTAAATTGAATTGACATCTTTGTCATACCCCCAACATTTTTATATCAAGAACCCCAAGAAGAATATTAAAATATTAGAGTATCTCTTCTTTTCTCATCACTTGTAGACATTAGCTGCTTTCAAGTATTTTCTTAAACAATGCTATCTGTGCAGCACACACACCCTTAATCTCTTGCAGGGAGTGCTACACTGATGCGAATCCTTGTTTATCACAATGCTGCCCCCTAATCATTCACGCTGCTCAACCTCATCACAGGTCTTTCCATCAAAGTGTGTCTCCATGGTAACACAAGCCAGATTTGGCCATTTGGTTACTGCTTGGAATACAAAGGTCACTTGAAGGTTTATGACATTTGGATTTTGGAGCACATTCACAAAACCACAATTTCTACATAGCTTTGACATTTAGATGCAATCTGTATTAATAGTATCTTTCCCTTGACATACATATATGTTTCCATTTGGATTATGTTTGTTTACTGGAAAAAAGCAGCCAATGTAACCAATTTTAATAAAATTAACTGTTTTTCTTCATTGCATTTCTTTCTAGAAAATAATATTTTGTGCTTAAAAAGTGCCATGGAAGAAAATCATTGGAAAATGTAAATCATCAAGACTGCTAAAAATATCTTGAACTGACAAAACTAAAAGATTATTGACTTTTTATCATGTTCTCTTTTATCTCAATATATAATTATGTTTTAAATTTGTATTGAAGTGGGATAACATAATTATTCAATTTGTCAACATACATTGCTAGCTTTTTATGTCCAGAAAGTATCTGATTTGTGGATAGAAAAAACACATGTATCTTGATTAAAATATAATTATTTCCATTTAAATGGGAGATTGTCTAAAAAAGGAAAACTTTAAATCTTTAAGAAAATGTTAAAAATCTTGAGTGTTGTAAAATAAAATTTATTTTATTTATTTATTTATTATTTACTTGTTTTATTTTTTTTGAGATGAAGTCTCACTCTATCACACAGGCTGGAGTGCAGCGGTGTGATCTCGGCTCACTGCAACCTCTGCCACGCAGGTTCAAGTGATTCTCCTGCCTCAGCCTCCAAGTACCTCGGATTACAGGCGCATGACACCATGCCCAGCTAATTTTTGGTATTTTTAGTAGAGATTGGGTTTCACCATGTTAGCCAGGATGGTCTTGATCTCTTGATCTCATGATCTGCCCACCTTGGCCTCCCAAAGTGCTGGGATTACAGGCATAAGCCACTCCACCCAGCCAGAAAATTTAAATATTAGAAAAAGCATATTTGTTTGTGGATACTAAGGCTCAATATGACAGCAAATACTTTTCAACTATATGTATTTAAAATAATAATAGCTAACACTTCCTAATCACTTTCTATGTGCCTGGTTCTATTTTAAATACTTTGTACATTTTAAATCATTTAATCCTCACAGTGACTCTATTTTGCCAATTATCCTCATTTTACCAATGAGAAACTAACACATAGAGACATTCATACTTGCTCAAAGTCATACAACTACTATTGGCATAATCAGGATTCAAATCCAGGCATTCTGGATCTGAAGCCTAAATTAGACAGCCTCTAGCTCTCTAGGGAGATTCCAATAAAAATTTATATAAGATTATTTCTTCAGAATTAAAAAAAAAAAAATCTTGAGACCAGGTGCAGTGTCTCACACCCAAAATCCCAGGACTTTGGAAGGCTGAGGCTGGAGGATTACTTGAGGCCAGGAGTGTAAGATCAGCTTTGGCAACATAGAGAAAACCCATCTCTACAAAAAATACAAAAATTAGCTGGGTATTTGTAGTTCCAGCTACTCAGGAAGGATCACTTGAGCCCAGGAGGTAGAAGTTGCAATGAGCCAAGATCACACCAGTGCACTCCAGCCTGGGCAAGACAGAGTGAAATCCTATCAGAGGAAGAGAAAGAGAGAGAGAGAAAGAAAGGAAGGAAGGAAGGAAGGAGGGAAGGAGGGAAGGAGGGAAGGAGGGTAGAGAGGAAGGGAGAAAAAGAGGGAAGGAGGAAAATGATATTCATCTATACAAATAAGCATCTGAAAGTAACTATAAAAAACTCTTTAAAAGAAGAGCAATAACTTACCAATGTTTTAAAACAGAGAATGAGTTTAAAACAGTCATTTTAAAAATTATGGGTTTTATTTTTCTCAACAATTTACTTAACAAGAAACCTAAAAGTAGGCAGTTAACGACCAGTACAGTGGTTCTCTAGTACCTTCAAGAGATAATGATTTCCTCTTGAATTTCTTCTCAGCCATCCTCAGTGAGGGCCTTAATTCTCAAGCTTATTACTTCATGGTGACAAGAGGGCTACACTTGATCCAACATCACTTTTGGATTCCAGTAAGCAAGAAGAAGATGAGCAAATAAGATAAAGACATAAGCCAAGTGAGTTGGTCCCCTTTAAAGAACTTTTTCAGAAACTCATCAGAGTGATTTTTATGTAACTGCAATAAAATCTAAAATTTAAAAAAATTTTCTTTAAAATTTTAGATTTTATTGCAGTTACAAAAACTTTCATATGTCCAAACTGCATTACAAGGAAAGCTGATTTAAAAAAAAAAAAAAAAAAAAGGTCTGTGATTGAGCACATTGCCACTCTGATCAAAATCAGAGCCTAAGAGTAAAGAAAGCTTACTGAGGGGGGCCTAGAATAGCCTTTGCTCTAGAGCTAGTTTGTCCTGCTACTAAGGTGTGGTCCTTAGTGTACTCTGTGTGTTCAACAATGAGCATTCTCACCTTGGCTAGTCAGGACTCAGCTGGTTGGAAATGCTCAGTTTACAGCTCCCCGGAAATTTCATCCTAACAGGCTCCCCCCTACCCCTGCCCTTTCTTCTGGGTAGCTCCTTCCTCTCCAGTACTTCTGGAAAATTCTAGCCTTTCCTGCCTCCATGTACTCCAATCTCTGACAACTAAACTCAGGGACACTGACATTCTGCTTGGGTTACCCCTTCTTATGATACAGTTCTGAAATCCTTCCTGTCAGTAATCTGAGGCAACTGAAGGCTCATGAAATTATTTCCCTTGTCCCAGGTGTCATATCGAGTCAGTAGAAAAATTCCTGAAGAATTACAGATACCTCCTAAATGTGGCAGATGATCTATAAGTCATTAATCTTCTGCTATAAAAGAGATGAGATGAGGCTTCCATAAACAAACTCCAGTAGTTTGCAGTCTTTAGGAAATTATTATTATTTACCACTTTACAGTTATGATTATGTAAATCTATCACATCTCATAACAAATGTGCTATTAAATATTTGTTTTTAACATTAAATAATAAGTTACTATTTTTGAGAGCTTTACAGATAATTGTATAATAGGCCTAAAGAGGAATGCCATGTAACTAGTATTTTTTAAATAAAACTACTTCATGCCAGATAGACTATGAAATGGGAGAGTTCCCTGACCTCCGTCACAGAACACGCAACAGGGTGTGGCTCATCTGTTTGGCCACCATATACTCAAACCCCTTATGAGAGAGGGAGCAGGAAGATAGGCAGATGCAGGAACAAGGGTGAGTACTCTTGGGCTGCAGCCCCATGGCAGCATCTAGGGGTGGGTGTCTGTGACTCCTGAAGCCCCAGTGGATGTGTTACAGTGCTCCTTTAACTCTGTCATCTGCAAACATTAAGTGTTAACCAGTTCAGTGCCCTCTTGGTACCCAGGTCCTTGTCTGGCATCCAGGAAGAATCAGGTCACAAATGGACTTGAAGGATGGTGAATGCAGGTATTTTGTTGAGTGGTGGAGGTGGCTCTCATGGATAGATAGGGAGATGGAAAGGGGATGGAGAAGGAAGATGCTCTTCCCCTGAAGTTTGGCCATCTCACCGCCAAACTCCTCTTCAACTATCCCCAGCTGAACTCCTCTCAACATTCAGATGCCCCTTCTCTTTTCTCCTTCTCTACCATACCGCTCTTCTGTTCCTCTGCTCTTTTGCTCATCTGCTTGTCTGATCATCTGCTGATGGAGGCTGTTGTTTGGGGTTATATGGGTACAGGATACAGGGGTGTGGATGGTCAAAAAGGCAACATTTGGGTTCAAAAACAGGAGTGCCTGTTCGCATTTAAGGCCACAGGTTTCCAGGCTTGAGGATGGGGCCTTTGACAGGGAACTGCCCTCTTCTACTCAGTATTTTCTTGCCTCCTGTCTGTATCAACTGCAGTAACTTTTATAATTATATTAAAGATACTTTAATAATAAGTATAATTATGGGAAATTAGGGTAAATTATAATGTTTAATGTGGGGTTCTTTTGTGGTTGTGGTTGTGTTTTTGTTTATGTTTTGTTTAGTATTCAAAGTGCTTTTAACCAGCTCTCCAGTCACGCCTAGCTCAAGGAATTGAAAATGTTAGCTCTCATGTAGAAGAAATAACTGCACAGAATGATTTGAACAGTAGCAAAAAAAGTGGTTTGCACATCTCCTCTGCATCTGTCTTATTCTGGGATCACAGCTAAGAGAAATTAGTTAATTCCACCAGGTGAAGAAGTCAGGCTGGAAGGTGCTGTTTTCTAGACATAATTTATTGGATTGGCCAAATGCTGCAGAAACAGGTTCTAGGAGGGATATCAGTCAAGCAGAGAATGCTGGACATCCAGAATCTATGAAAACAGACATGAGGTGCCCTGTGGCAGGGAAGGGGTATTCTACACAGGCAAATAGAAAAGAAGCACAGGTAATTCCAAAGTGGATGCTATTTAGGATCAGGTAAGCAAAGAGTGCTTGCATGGAGGAAAATCTATCACAGCAAGAAACTGGTGGGGACTCTAGGATTCAAAGCAAGGGTGCCAGTCTCTTGAAACAAGACTAGAAAGAGGAATGCAAGCCATATTTCTAGAAGGACAATGGTGCTCCAACAAGACAAGGCAGAAAACCTCAGATTTGGGTTGAACCGGCCACAGAAGGACCCATTCAGAGTCTCAGAGTGTCAGGCAAGAACTGATGCTTCTGTCCCTTGTATAGGTCGATTTGACCTTTTAGGGTTTTATGAAGCTGAGCCCAATGGAAGGAAGGAGTCCAGAGGCAGAGCTATGGGAAGAAAAACACGATACTGTATGAGAACGCTGGCAGGAGATGAAACCACCAGGCTTTCTGCCGTGTGCTCAAATGTCTTATCTTTAGAATAACTTTTAGGGAGTCTTTTAGAGGATCTGTTAATATGAAATATACTACCAGAGAGATGACATACTAAGCCCCTAAGAGATCGGCCATTAGCATATATTAGTTTATCAGATTAGCCATTAGTTTCAAGCACAGAGAGTAAGGTCCTGAGGGAATAAAATTCAGACATTTGGATTTAAAGGAGATTTAAAGGAAAAAGAGTTCCAGAGTAGGTAATCTAATACATATTAAAAATCAGGGAGAAAGTTGTCTTTTATGTTCCTCATTTTGCATTTTCCTCTAGCCAACATGCTTTGGGAATTCACTATGTGCCAGGCAATTCCAAAGCACTTCAAATAGATTAATTCATATAACCCTCCAATCCTATTGGTACTTTTTATCATTTTTTTCTCTAGAAATAGAAATATTGAGGCTCAAAAACTTTCTCAAGATGACATGGCTGGTAAGTGGCAGAACCAGGATTTAAGTTCTTCTGTGTCTGATGGCCCAAATATTCTTACAGTAGCATCTTTAAAAGTCCAAGTGAGAGGCGCTGATGTTTTCACTACAGAAGGTGTCATTGGCAACAGTGAGATGGGAGTAGAGCAAAAAAGTACCACACAGAACAGATCAATAGTCAACCAGTATTTGTTAGGTGCCAATCATTATCAGAGATTTTGCTAGGTACTAGGGATCCTGTCACTGAGAAACCAGATATGACCCAGACTTCATGGGGCTCATAGCCTTACAAGGAAAGAACACTTATACAGTACAACAGTAGTGATTTAACAAACAACCTACAAATAAGTATAAACTTTACAAAGGGTTGAAAATAGAGGTACCAGGTAAGGGCACCATCAACAGAGCTAACAATTCTGTTTTGATAACTGTCATATTTAAGCAAAAGAAGGGAATTGACATAATTCTGGAGTATACTCATCTGTAATCCCAGCTACTCAGAGGGCTGAGGCAGGAAGTTCACTTGAGGCCAGAAGTTCAAAACTAGCCTAAGCAACATAGTGAGACCCTATCTCTCTAAAAAAAAAAAGTAATAAAAGATATTCTAAAGTTTAGAGAGAATGAGCATAGGAAAATCAGAAAGTAGAGAAATTTGCAGGAAAG